ATTATTCCAAAGAATCGTTGTTCTATTTTATTCTGTATTTTATTTGCTATGAGGGTTATATATTGTTTCATTTCTAGTTTCATATAAGTATTTTATCAATTTCTTGTATAATATATTTGATTTGGCTCGAGTTTCTATATTCAATAGAGTCTTGATCAGTAAGATTTTTTAGTTCAACAATTATTAATTGGGCAGTTTGATTCTTGTGTATTTTATTGGTTAGTGTTATTAATTGATTTATCCGAGATTCCGGTAAGTTTAATACTTGATTCTTTTTCTTTGGAATACTTTGTAATATTTCCTTTACTTCGTAGAGGTATTCAAATACTTGGTACTTCTTTTCTAATTGTATGTTAGTTTGTTGAATAGTCTGTAGTTGATTTAAATACTTATTACCAGTTTTGTTATTTATAAGATAGTTGAATAATATGTTTTCTAAGTTTATACAAGTGTATTCTTTTGCGTTTAATTTTCAGTAAATATATTGTAGTTTTTGGTGGTATAATGTTTTCTTCAATTTTGTTTTGTTTTTCCTTTGGTTTTAATAATAATTGTTGTAGTCCAGTTACTATATTCTTATATTGTAACAGTATATGCATTTGTCCTTGGAGTAGTATGAATTTACTTGTCCCTATTCGTTAATAAAGAATTCTTTTCCTGTAATTTTTTTATATACTCTGAATAATAAGTTTTCATATTGACAGATTGCTTCCTTTAATGTTGAGCAATCTTGAGCTTGGTAGTATCTACTTTGTATGTAGTTTGCTGTATTATTCCAATAATTTAAAGATTTGTATTAATATATATTATATTTCATTATGTCTTCTTCGTATTCGATTTCTAATTGATTGATGGTTTTTTTAATATTTTCTTCACAAATCATTTTTAGTAAATGGTCTAGTTTTAATTCTATTTCTTCTCTAGTTACTTGTAATAGTTAGTTATATTTTAACTATTGGGCAATAGTATTATAGTTATATTTTTTGTAATCTTGTTCTATTATTGATTTACATTCGTCATTTAATTCCTTTTTTAATTCTTCAAGTTGTTGTTCTTTATTTATTTATTTCTTCTGTTTTGGCTTCTTCAGATATTTCGTATAGCTTTTGGTTTACTGTTTTCTGGATTAAGTTCCGTAAAAATTCTCTTTGTTTTTCTGCAATATCGTAGTCTTGGTAATATTTTTTTTTGGTTTGGTTAAGTTGTTCAATTTGTTGTTCAAATGTCAGAATATTCTTTTCTTCTAGTTGTTGATTATCGTTTGTAAGTATTTCAATCAATTCTTTTAAATTGTTATAAGTCAAACACTGTCTTACTTGGTAAAGTAGTTGTCTTATATAAGGGTGAAATTGTATTTCATAAAATTGATATAATGAGATAGTTTCTCGTTTGAAGTTAAATATTCTTCCAATATCTTTTTCTTCAATTATATTATTGAGATGTTTTGATTCAATTATCGTGTTGATTATTGATATTATTGCTAGTTTAAATAGATATATCTGTTGAGGTATTCTATCGTATTCGTATGTTATTCCTTCTTTCTTAGAGGGTGATTGCATTGTTATAGAACAGTTTATTATTTTATTAGTTTATTATTCTGATATTGTATTTTATTATTTATTTTATTATTATT